AGGGCGGGGGGGGGGGGGGGGGGGTGTATGGTTGCAGGGGAGGTGGGGTTCATTTGGGTGGGGGTGTAGGTGGTTGGGGCTCAGTGGGGAGGGTGTCTCTTGGGCGTGGTACAGAAGCAGGGGAGGTGGGGCTTGTCAGGATGAGGGTTTGACGGGCCTGCTTAAGAGGGAAATCCCAGCTGCTGCCAAGGGGATCCGCATGCTGGGCCCCTGCTTCTCCGATCCCCTTCTCTTCCCCATCCCATGCCCCTTCCCCACCACTCCATCTCCTCCCCATCCCACCCCGTTCCTTCCCCACTGCCTCTGCCCCCCGCTTCCCCCCATCTCCTTCTCCTCCCCATCCTATGCCCCTTCCCCACCACTCCATCTCCTCCCCATCCCACCCCCTTCCTTAGAATCATAAAAAATCATAGAATATCAGGGTTGGAAGGGACCTCAGGAGGTCAAGCAGGACCAATCCCCAACTAAATCATCCCAGCCAGGGCTTCGTCAAGCCTGACCTTAAAAACCTCTAAGGAAGGAGATTCCACCACCTCCCTAGGTAACCCATTCCAGTGCGTCACCACCCTCCTAGTGAAAAAGTTTTTCCTAATATCCAACCTAAACCTCCCCCACTGCAATTTGAGACTATTACTCCTTGTTCTGTCATCTGGTACCACTGAGAACAGTCTAGATCCATCCTCTTTGGAACCCCCTTTCAGGTCGTTGAAAGCAGCTATCAAATCTCCCCTTATTCTTCTCTTCTGCAGACTAAATAATCACAGTTCCCTCAGCTTCTCCCCAGTTATGTGCTCCAGCCCCCTAATCATTTTTGTTGCCCTCCGCTGGACTCTTTCCAATTTTTCCACATCATTCTTGCAGTGTGAGGCCCAAACCTGGACACAGTACTCCAGATGAGGCCTCACCAATGTCGAATAGAGGGGAATGATCAGGTCCCTCGATCTCCTGGCAATGCCCCTACTTATGCAGCTCAAAATGCCATTAGCCCTTCCCCAATGCCTCTTCCCCCCTGCCCCCACTTCCCCCATCCCCATCCCATGCCTCTTCCCCACCACTCCATCTCCTCCCCATCCCATCCCCTTCCTTCCCCACTGCCTCTCCCCCCCTACCCCTGCTTCCCCCATCCCTATTCCATGCCCCTTCCCCACTGCTCCATCTCCTCCACAGCCTTGGGGGCACAGGGGGGAACCACCCCCCAGAACGAGCCAGGGGAGCGGGCTGGGGCCGGGTCGCTCCACTTCGTGCTACCCGGTGATTGCAGGGCAGGCCCCACCCCGCACTCACAGGGCGGCGGGAAGTGGAGTGAGCCGGCCCCAGCCCGCTCCGCTCCCCTGGCTCCCAGCCTTGGGACTTGGGGGAACTGCCCCCCAGCACTCACCGGCGGCGTGGCTGGGAGCCGGCGGAGCTGAGCGGGCTGGGACCGGATTGCTCCACCTACCACCACCGGTGAGTGCAGGGCGCCCGATCCCTGCTGTAGTCCTCTGAGGAGTGGGGGTGGAGCAGAGGCGGGGCGGAGGGAGCAGAGCAAGCTGAGCCGGCCAGGGGATCCGGCTGTCCGGGGCCCCTTCTGACTCTGGGCCCGGGCACAGCCCCTTTCAACCTCAAACACTCCAAATTAATCAGTAACTTTTACCTTCATGCCCGAGCGAGTGTCATCACCATTAAATTACACTGTACATCACTACCACAATTATTTCTCTAAAAGACAGCTTGTGTCTCAGTCTCTGTGAATAGAGAGTTTCACAAACATGGATAACAGCAGAAAGACATTAGCTGAATATCTGAATAAGACATTGGCTGATAGTGAAAAGGCAGCCCCTGAAGATCTGCTATTTTCCTATAAGGGAATTTTGTACCCTGCTGGTTTTTGCAACCCGAAAACTATCCAAGTTCTTGATTCTTTTGAAGCCAGGACTGACGATGTGATCCTAGCGGGATACCCTAAAAATGGTGAATATTGCTAGCTTGTTACAAAAATTAAATTTGAAATGTTATAGTTATGAATGATTAGGCAGCATTTAATACAATGATTATACATGACTGCAGTTTATAGAAAATGCTGTCCATCATGAAGATACTGTATTAGGGATTGTTCAGATGAATGAGATGAGAATAATAATTTCAGCCATTAATGACAGTCAATTACTTTCTTCTCCTTTTGAATATTTACATTTTAAGTAACCATATGTCCAGTGTTATGAACATGTACCTTGCAGAAAAAGATTTCTTGATCTTTGATAGCATGATCTACTACATGTTGAACAAAAATTCCTGTTCACAAGCATGAAAGATATAAGGTTGTAATGTGGCATCCAAACATCAGAGGAGACACATTATAAAATGTTCATGTGTGTCTCATTGTAGATCTGATTCAAACAGCCAACAAACCTTTACTAATATTTTGCATTGTGATGATGAATGAGCTGAGAAGAAAACAGCTTGACTGTCAATTTGACTGAGTTTGAAGACCTGGTGTTTTGAAAAACAATTCCTTCACTTATTAATTCAGCAAGTCTCACATGGAAAAATTGGATCAAATTCCACTGTCAGTTCCACTGCTGTACATCTGCAAACACTCAATTGAAGCCAATCGAATGATTCCAAATTTACACAACTAAAATGTGAGAAAAAACACAATGTGACTCACAGATATGAGGGTATCCAGATTTCACATAACTGTGATCACAAGTGTTTCTGTCCATTTCCCCCAAATTGATTTCTTCTTTTTAGAAACCATTATTGTATATTTGGCTTTTGGTCAAGCTAGTGCTAATGGCTTACCCTGGATTGGCAAGTAGGAGCCTAGTCAGTGACAATGGTGGTGCCTGCATTTATCTGTGACATGAATTCACCCAGAAAACATGGTTTTTAATTTAGTGATTTATAACTAAATTGTTAATCACAAAGAAGTATGTGCTTCACAAACAGGACTGTTCCTGTTGGTTGACAGATTACTTGGCCCAATCATATGACACTTCTGTTCACTCATAGCTTGTGGCATTAACAACAGGAAAATATTCCTGTATCAAAGTAAGATTTCAGTTTAGTTAGCTACTATCCTTGAATGTTAATGTTTTTCTTGAACAGTAATTGATATCATACACAGGTATTTGCAACTAAATACATTCAACAATTGTGACAATTTTCACTTCCGTAGTCTTTAAACCAGTTTCTATCTTGTTTCAGGTACTAACTGGCTTGATCAAGTCTTAAATGACTTGGAAACTACAGCTGCAAAATATACAGAGGAGGAAATTAATGAGAGAATTAATATTACAAATGAATTATCTATATTTCCACGTCTAGAATTTGGGGATCCAGAGAAATTTAAGGTCAGCATGGGATGATATTAGAAATGTTAATATGAACTGTTTGACATATTTAAGAATTGATAAAATGTAATGGCTGAATTTTACAGGCTATGGAGGACTCTTACCTCCCCCAAGGTGTGATCAGGTCAGCACAGTCAGGGTGCAGTGCATTTGCTTAGCCAGTCCATGACTGGAAACCATGGAAGTTCAGACAAGGGGTGGATAATTCATGCAAATGACCTTCTCACCACGGGGTTTCCTTAGATTCCGATCTGTCACTCTCTCCTTTGCACTACTACTGTCCCCATAGAGCTGACTATGTGGAGAGGAAGGATTTCAGGGCCCCCACCCCAAAACAGGCAATTGTGAATGGGACTAGGGGTTTAGGGGAGTTTCTGTTACCCCTCTCCGTTTTATTTTCCATGACAGGGGATGTCTTTTGCCTAGGAGTCTCCCATTCTGATTGCTAACAGCTCCTTTTTAAACTGTCAGTCAGCTCCAGGATTGATTTTTTGCCTCATGGTTTCCCAGGATTTCATTCAGCTGGAGAGACCCCTCCCCTTATTTCAGAGCTATTAGGGGAGGCAATGGGAGAGCACTCAGACTCTGCCTTCAGAGAAAAGGGTAGTAAGGAATAGTTTTATGGCTGCTGCCCTTGAGGGTCTTCCCCTTTCAATCTCTGCACTGCTCCACAGATCTATGTGGGCCATAGAGCGTGGAAGGGCTCCACTCTGAGAGAGGCAAGATCAAGATTTGGTATTGCGTTCATCTATTGCAGGAAAAGGACATTAGATAACACTGAATGATGTTAGGGCCATAGTATTGCACCAAATTACTCCAAAACTGAGAGCAGACTCAGGGGGTAAACACAGCCGGGTGCTAACCCTAGGCCCATGCACAGTTCTCCCACAGAAGACAGATGTAGTAATCTGCCCAAGAGTGAGGGCGGGGAGGGGTGTGAAGGGAACACTGATCCTTTCGGGGACACAGATGGTGAAACTGAGGGACCATATCAACTATCTAGTTGGACCTGCCCCTGGGACCCTTTTCTGGCTCCATGTACCTATTGCTGGCAGCATGACAGGTCCATAAATCTGGTTGGAAGCCAGAACTGCAGCAGAAATATTTGGATCTATACTTCCTCTTGGTCTATAGCTTTTCTGAGGTGTCAATGGGCAAAAACGCCCAAACATTAGGGACAAATGTGTAGATCAATGAGTAAATAAAAAGACAGTGGGCATATGAATGAACAACAATTACTGGACAAATATTACTTCCCATGTCATAAGGAGAAGTTTCATTCACTGTCAAAAATAGAGATCAACAGGAGCAAAAACTCAAGAGATAAGTGATTAATCCTAGATGAACAACCTCTAACACCAGTACAAAGCTCACAAAATCTGCAGCTGCTGAACAGCTGGTTGATATGCCACGTACACTCCCTGTAGACAGAATTTGTGTGTTTTATTATTTTATCGTTTCTGTACGTAAATGATTTTATTGCCTGAGAAAGGGGTCATATCGAAGACTTCATCTTATGGGGTCCTCTGTTTGGCCAAAAAGCTCTCATAACACAAGCAATGCAAACAGTGTTTTCCCAGGAATTGAAATTAGGCGGGGTGTTGGAATATTCAGGGGGGAGCGGGCGGAGGGCCGATGAGGGTTGAGACTGTGAGTGTGAAGGGGGGGGCTGTATGGCACCAGAGTAAAAACTGAAAAATGTTTCACAACCATTTTATTAGATTTAACTCATGTTTTAAAATCATCACACAAATTAAAGTTGGCTACTCAAGCCTATTATGAAGTACTATATCTACATCCTTCTTGGTTTCTTGTTGTAATTTTGCACTCTTTGGTGTCTCTCTCCTTGTGTGTCAGTTACTTCCAGTCCTTCATGATATGCTCATGATCAGGCAGAAGGCGACTTCTTTCAGAACACAAAATTCTATTGAATTAGGAAAAAGAACACTCAACTGTAGCTGTTGTGACGGAGTAGCAAGAGATGAATTCCTACTTCTTTCATCCCAGGAAATAGCACAAAGATGGGGTCAAACCACTAGTGATGATAAAGAAGTTGAAGTTAAATCTTCATTCATTCATCATACACTATTCCACTCTGTGTTCAAAATTCTCTATTCTGTCTTGATCACATAGCAGCCCTATTGCTGGTAGTGCTTCATTCCACTCAACTATAGGTGTTTTATAAGACAGGCATCTGTAAAAGCTATGTGGCAGTTGAGTAGAATCCAGAAATCTCTATTGTAGATTTCTAAGAATCAAGTCTGTGTACTTTTTCAGCTGGCTTAACAAACACTTCTTGTCTTCTTCACTTAAGGAGTCAACATACGTACCTTCATTAGTCAACTTCTGGACTGAAGTCTTTGCTTCTTCCAGTACATTTTCAATGGATATCTGTGATAGATCCAAGGGTAGCTTCTATTGCCGGACAAAGATCTACTACTGTTGTAGCAGATGCCTGGATGACATTGTTTAATAACCCAAGTGATTTCAACAGTAGACTTACAAGAGAGAAAATGGTGATAGTCTTCTCTGAACTTAGTAACAAAAGTAGTCCACCGGCTTCACTACTTAAATCTGTCCTGTCTTGGTGGATACTTTCCAACGCCAATAATAACAGCTGCAGTAATTTTAAGACAACAGCCAAGAATCACTCATGAGAAAGCCAGCAGGCTTTCCCAGGTTGGACTAATTTGAACTTCAATCCCAGTGTAACTTCTATTTGTTTCCAAGATGTTCAGTCCTTTTGGACTCTTTCTGGAAAAAAAAAAAGTATAAAAGCCATTAAATTTATGGCTTTTTAATGTCTTTTGAAGATTCTGCAGCTTGTACTAGCACTAGCTGGAGTAGATGGCCTCTGCAGTGTGTATAGGAGGGATTAGGGTTACATGTTTCTCTGAGCAAAGCTTGTAATCCACTATGTCTTCCAGAGAAGTTTGTAGCTCCATCAAATGCACAAGCAGCCATCTGTTCAGGGTTCCGTTTACAAGCATTTAACTCTTCTAAGATGTCACAGATGCAGCTGAAGTAGCTTCTATAACCTGAACATCGAGAATGCATCTACTGGCCTACCACAGACATCAAGATAACATACGCAATGACTTAATACTTGATGCCTATTTGCATTGGTGCATTCATCAGCCATGTATGCACATATTTTGAATATGGTGAGAGAGTTCTTCACTTTTTCAACTGCTGAATCTTTCACTGTTGCACCCCATGCTTCTAGCCAGTCAGTTGAGTTTCTTGCAGAAAGATAGTGAGCATTTGCTGGTCTTGTTCGGAACCAGTGTTCAACTTCAGGATGAACAAGTAACAATGCACTTAACATTGGCCTCCAGTTTGTAGTGTGTGGTAGGTCTTGCTTAAATAGAAAGTATGATGCAACAGCCATGTTGGTTCACATAAACTGAGTTGTGTCTCCAGCATTCTTAACAGCCTCATTAAATTCTTCTAAAATTGGCTTTGTCAGTGACTGCCTTCTAAGGCTTTCTGTATGTTGATGCAGTCCAGAGGCCTGGTGTTTTGCAGCCTTTTCATATATGTCGTCAGTATTGGCTTAGCTGATCGGTCTGGCAAACCAAGCTCCTCCACTTTTACTATATAAATCCATGATATGCCCACATCTTGAATACTGTATGCAGTTCTGGTCACTCCATCTCAAAAAAGATATATTGGAATTGGAAAAGGTTCAGAGAAGGGCAACAAAAATGATTAGGGGTATGGAACAGATTCCATATGAGGAGAGATTAAAAAGACTGGGACTTTTCAGCTTTGAAAAGAGATGACTAAAAGGGGATATGATAGAGACTTATAAAATCTTGACTGGTGTGGAGAAAATGAATAAGGAAGTGTTATTTACCCCTTCACTTAACACAAGAACCAGGGGTCACCCAATGAAATTAGTAGGCAGCAAGTTTAAAACAAACAAAAGGAAGTATTTCTTCACACAATGCACAGTCATCCGTGGAACTTTTTGCCAGGGATGTTGTGAAGGCCAAAATTATAACAGTGTTCAAAAAAGAACTAGACAAGTTCACGGAGGCTAAGTCCATCAATGGCTATTAACTAGGATGGGCAAGGATGCAACACCGTGCTCTGAGTGTCCCTAGCCTCTGTTTGCCAGAAGCTGGGAGTGGACGACAGGGGATGGATCACTTGATGATTCCCTGTTCTGTTTCATTCCCTCTGAAGCACCTGGAATAGGCACTGTCGGAAGACAGGATACTGGGATAGATGGACCATTGGTCTGAACCAATATGCCATTCTTACATAAAAAATAATTATAATAAACAAAAAGTTTAGTACAGAAACTCCCCAAAATAATGATCTCTTGAGATAGCAAATATGTGAGATAATGAGCATGGCAAATAATGCATTTTAAAAATCTTGGCCTACTAGAAAAATGTATATTTATATAAGTTTCCCAGTCACAAATCTAGCATTCTGGAGTGAAGTCACTAAAACATAGTCCAATCCTCTGGCCGCTGTTGTTTGTCATGCCACCATTCACTCTATTGCTCCGCCCCAATGTCCCTGCACTGTCATCTTCTGCTGCCACCTGCCACTGAGACCCCTGCGAGTCAGTCTCTCGAGGTTCAGCCCAGCTCTCAGTGATTTCAGCTCTCAGTGGGGGAACCTCACTGCTAGTGCAGGCTGGGCTGTCTCTTCCACAGAAATGCTGTCCTGCAGCAGGTCTAAGCACTTAGAACTGATTATCAGTGATTTCAGCTCTAGTGGTCACTTAACAAACCAAAAGACTCTCTATGAAGCCTAATCAGCTCTCTCTCTAAACAGGAGAGAGGGACAGGTCAAATAGTGCCTCTGACTCTTAGGCAGAGCCCACACCACCAAGCAAAACACCTGTGCTCCACCTTCTCTCTCTTCACTAGGATATGGCATCCAACCCTCCTGCTTAGGGAGTGCAGTTTAGTTGAGGGTGACCAGTGCTTAATTTGTAATGAAAGAGGTGCTGGGGCTCAAGGAAGTTTGTTACTTTCATAACTGATGTGACAAGCCCAGAGGTACCAGGGCTATGAACTGCCGAGCCTAGAGGTGCTGGGGCTCAGCACTGGCAAGCCCTAGCACAAATCAAGCACTGAGGGAGACCCCCCCTCATTCAGTCAGGCTAAGTACAGTTCTGCTGCCCTTTACTCATACAATAAAGATAACATTTCATTACCCCCACATTTAATACTTCAGTGATTTGTAACCCAATACCAGCCAAAATTGATCAGTTGGACAGCACAGCTCTGTCTGCTGGATACCTAGGCAGAGTAGTTGTGTTCATGTAAATACAGTCTGGTCCTGAAGCCTCTCTCCCCTCCCCTGGCTCATCGCTAGCTGTCAGGGGAGAGCTCATTCAGACCTTGCTTACAAATCATAATTTTAAATTATAAGTTAGGCCAACATTGCCAAAATGAATGTGCCAACATTGTCATAAGTAACAGCTGTATGAGGAAGCTAGTCTTTGTTCATACTTTTCAAACCCATTATGCTTTCTCAGGTACAAGTATTTTCTCATATAATGTATATGCTTTTAAAGTGTGTATTAATGTTTGAATTTCAATTCAAATTTCCAACCAACAACTACATTGGAAACACTGCGTGAAACTGGGGGCAGGGAGGTGTTGGGGAAATTCATGGGGGGTGTAAACCCCTCCTGGGGGGGCGGGTCTAGAGAAATCCCTGAATGCAAACATCTTCACCCTGTCCTGTCAATGCATCTCAAACCCTGATCTAGAAGGCTCTGCTGTGGTAGGGGGGACATCATCCTGTCTCCAGGTCCATTAGATGCTAATTCAGATTAATTGGAATTGTTTTGAAAAATCCATTTCTTTCCCCCTTCGACTTTCCCATTTCCCATATTCCATCCTTCTCCACATTTCCTTCTCTCATCCATCCAAAACACTCCCAACATCAGCTCACTAGTCTTCAAGTAATGCTCCTCCTCCCACTGCCACATTGTCTCTCCTTGATCGGAAAGTGGTAGCATGGGAAATCTGTGATGGAGCCAGAAAGGGAAGAACCCAGGTCTTCAGACTCCCAGTACTATGCTTTAGCCACCCCTTGCATTTCACTTTATCAAACTGAAAAAAAAATTGTTTTGATTCAGGTTGTTTTTACTCTGTTTGAACTGGATTTCCCATCTCTAAGGTCAATTAGACAGAGCTGTGAGTGGGCCCTACCAAATTCACGGCCATGAAAAACGTGTCTTGGACTGTGAAATCTGGTCTCCCCCCATTAAATCTGGTCTTTTGTGTGCTTTTACCCTATATTATACAGATTTCACGGTGGAGACCAGCGTTTCTCAAATTGGGGGTCCTGACCCAAAAGGGAGTTGCGGGGGGGGAGGGGTTCCAAGGTTATTTTAGGGGGGTCGCGCTTACTCCTGCGTTGCCTTCAGAGCTGGGTGGCCAGACAGTGGTGGCTGTTGGCTGGGCACCCAGCTCTGAAGGCAGCATCCCACTAGCAGCAACGTAGAAATAAGGGTGGCAATATCATACCATGCGATCCTCACTTCTGTGCTGTAGCTAGCGGCAGCTCTGCCTTCAGAGCTGGGGGCCCAGCCAACAGCCACCA